TTTCTTAGGCAACCAAGTGAAGATGGCTAGTAGACAGTTGTATATATGAATCTGGAGCTCAAGCCAGAGATACAGGTTAGAGAAATAGATTTGAGAGGCATCAACATGTTGTTCTACTACAAAGTTCTACTCTAAAGTCGTTGGAGTAGAAGAGGTCACCTAGGGGCCTCGTGCAGAGTAAGGGGACCCAAAAGGTCCTGAGGAATGGCGACATTTAAAAGCTGGTAGAAAAGTAGAAACCCAAAAAGGAAACTGATAAGGACTACATTAATGGTAGGAGGAAAACCAGAAGAGTGGAAACCAAGAGAACAGAAGGTTTCCAGAAGGAAGGACGATTCAGCACTACTGATTAATTCCCAGAGGGCTGAGGAGTATCTCTAGGATTTAGTGACACACAGGTCACTGAGAACTTTATTGAAAGCAGTTTTAGGGGAATGATGAGGGCAGAAACAAAGACTGAGTGTAGTCAGCTTGCAGGAAGCCTAAGTTGTGAAGGTGAAGGAGAGAGATTAGAAGGCAATGGCTGAAAGGACACATTGGGTCAAGGAAAGAGAGAGAGAGAGAGAGTGTGTGTGTATGTGTGTGTGTGTGTGTGTGTGTGTTTATGTGTTACTTAGACAAGGAGCTAGTAAAAGTGAGAGGTAGACATACTTGAAATAGGAAGGCATCTGAAGAAGTGATAGAGATTGGATTCTGAACGTAGCTGGAGAATGGCAGCAGAAGCATGTCTTCTGTTGTTACCAAGAGAGAATGCAGGAAGTTAGTAACAGGTTTATAGATTTCGATTTCAGTTTGGTGGTGGGTAATTAAGGAAATGTCCATAGCTTGATTTATGAGACAGGATTATCTGCTAAGAGTAGGTCAGATGTTTAAGAAGGATATAGAAGGTTTAAAATACTGACGGTGAACAGGACAAACTGACTAGGGAATAGTAAACTGGAGAAAAGCTAAGGATCTAGTTGAGGTATGTGATCATGAATATGTATAGAGACACTAGTCTACGCATATGGTAACCCTGGTAAAGTCAAAGAAAACGAAAATAGTAGTTGAATTCACTGAATTAATGGAGAGACAAAGGGACAAGAAAATTAACAAAAGAATGGTTGAAGTAATAAACCATGAACTAAAACTACAGAAGGAAGAAAGTGAAGACAGAAGAAGCTAATGGGTAAGTTAAAAGTAAGGAGGTAGGTTCTG